TTCCCCTCGATTTAATTAAACACACCAACGAAAACAATTCAACCATTCATATGAATCTGTTTCTCATTAATTAGAAGAAAAGAAATTAGACAGTGCAATAGGGGAAGAAGAAGAATAAAACTTCTTTGTAACAAAATAAAAATGAATTTTTTAACCAGTTGTAAAATGTCAGCATTTTATGGAAAATAATAAATCTAGACATCATACTATTGGATACAGTTCGCACTGACATGAGTTTTCGTGGACGACTAATAGAAACCTTTCGGGAACATTATTATTATTTATTATTGTGTCATTTAATTCCTAGAGGAACATAGGGCTCCAGCAGTGCGTCTCCATTGCGTTCTGTTCTCTGCTAGAGTTTTCACCTGGCTCCAAGTTTGCGCACACGTTTTCATCTCCTCTTCACATGAACTCCTCCAAGTCACCCACCCTTGCACTGACGACCAACTCGCCGCTTCCCTTTCGAGTTCCACTCGAGCGATGGCTTGTCTAGTGATGTCACTTGATGCATTGTTTCCTCAGAGTATGGCCAATCAATCTTCATTCCTTCCTGCCCATTTGTTTCACAATTGGTTCCTGCTGAGTGGCTTCACTCATTGCCAGAGATCCCTGTTACTGATCTTTTCTGGCCATCTGATCTTGAGCGAGGTATTGAGCGAAGACAACTGTGAATGAAGGTCTGTAGTTTGTTTGAGATGCTCTTTATGACGCACTGGCCAAGTCACTGATCCGTATAGTAGCACTGACTGACTTCACATTGGAGTTGAAAATCCGGATCTTATTTTTGATGCTGAGTGTTGTTGACCTCCACACAGACTTGAGATTAGTGGAAGCTTGTCTTGTTTTTCGGATTCTTGCTTTGATATCCTCATCACTTCCGCCTGTAGTTGAAATGATGTTTCCACGTAGGTCGGCAGGTAAATGTGGTTGTTTCTTTCAGGTTCCTTCCATTTATGCTGATTGTCATCTGTTGTTGTTGTTGCCTAGGAATCTTCATCACCACATCTGTTTTCTCTATGTTCACCTGAAGTCCTATCTTCTCTGGATGCTTCTTCTGTCAACTTGTTGCTTTTCGCTTTCATATCTTCCAGTTTGTGGGAAATCAGACATATGTCATCATCGGCGAAGTCCAGATCCTCCAAGTTTTTTGTGTGAGTCCATTTTACGCCTGTTTCCTCCTTACCCGCCGCTGTTTGTCGCATTATCCATTATCGGGAATAGCAGGAGAATTCAAATGGCCAGTTATTTCACTCTATCATAGATACATTTTAGCCATGTAGATGGCTTGCTTCACTTCACGGGTGAGGGGCGAGGGTGGTTAACATCTCAATTCACTAGAATCATTCAAAATGCATTGCTAAAGAGCTTCATAACTAATGAACGAAACAGTCACGCAGAGGTTAGACTGTTACAATATGGCAAGCAAGTATTACTGTTCTATGTGATTAGTTTAAGGGTACTCAGAACCAGGCATTCATGCGTATCTTAACAGTTGCTTATGTAAAATCCTGAATACAGTTTAATAATGTTAGGCAATTTTTGTATTGAACTTCTGGATATTTTGAGTTTCAGAAGGAGACTAAGAGGTTGAAGTTTAATTTCGGGTATGGAGTTGATGAACCTGACCCCAAAAATGGTCGTCTAGTATATACATTACTTCAATAATCTAACCAACAAACACTATTGGTTGATACTGGTGGTACCAAACTACTCATATCAATTGATAAGTAGTATATGCCATCCTTAATTCAATAAGAATTACCACTTTCCACATTGTATTGGACTAAGTTATGATCATTTTTCAGATAAAACTAGTGCTGAATACTTCTTAGAGTTATTCAATTCTGGAAATGCAATTTTAACCTCAAGATTTTCTGGAATCCTTTAAGTGCTCACATGTATATTACTCACTTATGCTGTGTGCTTGTTAACTTTGAAATTAATCGAGTTTTTATGTAATAGTTTGAAAGAAGAGTTTAATAGATTGGGTGGACACAAATGATACACCCGCTCAAAAAATTCACAGTTTTAAATAACTTGACTAAACTTGTTCTCATGCATGGAGGATTTCATCATGAGCTAACATCAGTTAGAGAACCACTTAAAAATCTGGGAGTATTGGACAGCTGTTTCCCCCGTCCTAGTTTGAGACTCTTCAGCAGTACGCAACCACCGGGGTTCAAACCCAGGACATTCCGGTTACAAGGCGAGCTCGTAGACCATTGAGCAACTGATGTCAGCTCATGATGGTCCTATTCAGGCAGTTAACCTAGGGTTCTAGTGGGAAGCCGTAACCAGTAGAATGCAGCAAGTTGAAGATGAGGCAGTAACTCATCGAAGAAGATATTGTGAAATGGTTGCGCTATGTCGTGAATACGCAGACGTTAGAATTCAAGGACTATTGAATCAGGTAACAGTGGCTCAATGTTCTACGAGCTCGCCTTGTAACCGGAATGTCCTGGGTTCGAACTCCGGTGAGTGCGTACTGTGAACAGTCCCCAGCTAGGACGAAACAGCTGTTCAGTACTCCCAGGTTTTCCAGTGCTTCGTTAACTGATGTCAGCGCATGATGAAATCCTCCATGTATTCACACAAAATCCCTACAAAACCAATACTTGAAAATTCAACTTGGTTTCCTTATAGAATCCACTTCTCCGTTTGCGAATTAGACGCATTTCGTGGTGGAATCCCAGTGTAGTTTTATTTGGCAACAGAAATTATTCACATCACAAAATATGCGGCCTGCTTGTTACCACAGATGGGGATAAAGAAGCCAAGCATTAATATATGGCATTATATATCATTATCGGAGACTTCTTACATTTATTCCGCACTATGAGAAGAAGAAGAACGGTTAATGCGGAATAAGATGGTACCATCCTTCATTTTGGAGGCTCCTCATCAACTACGTACAACTTAAAGATGCTATTAAGTTAACGTGCAGAACAAATTTAACCCACTGGCAAGTGTTATATAAAGTTAATTAACAGGAGCACTCCAACTTAATAAACAGTGCTCAGAAATCACACTTACATAGCTTACACACAGAAGATCGAAGTCTGAACAAAAAATAATTTTTTGAATACAACGGTAAAGGAGTTGCGTAGCAAAGACAATAGGCGGATAGGATGATAAGTAACTAATAAGTTCAACTTGATTTATAAAAGCAAGATACAAGCAAAATTACACTTTAGCGAAGCGGATGAGTTTAAAGCCAAAGACATTCAGTTACCAGGATAATAAAACACTGATGACTGCTTCTTACTGAATACATAAATATCGTGGAGCTGAGTTAGTTCCACTTTATCAGATAGCATGCTCTTAGATGAAATCAAAGACTGACAATTACTCTTCTTATGTTAACTCTAACTGTGTACATAAATTTACATACATCCGTGATAGTATTTGTATTGTGAGAATAGAAAGAGTGGCACACATTTGCTTTCTTTGAATGTGTATCAAAAAGCCTATGTTTTATGGGAACAAATGCTTATAATAATGCCGTCGTTGAAAATCTCGTCGATGCCGGTTACAAAATGAACATAATGAAATAGTTCAATTCTTCCCATATATGTTTAAGAGGCTGCCATCAGACTCCTTAAACTTGATTTAAGTGTTCACAAAGAAACATTTAATCAGTCTATCTTAGTCCTGGTAACTGAATGTCTTTACTCTATCTTTAATTTGATTGCTCAATCTTTGATTTGACTTCTTCCCCTTAGCCACAATGTAGTTTCGTTCAGCTCTTGTTCTCAAGGTTTGAGTTGAACTCGTTACATTGTTGTGCAACCTCTCAGCTACCCATCTCTGGTCTCCTGTGTGTAAGCTGTGTGAATGTGATTTATGAGATTTTGTTTATTAAGCTGGGATGTTCCTGCTAAGTGACTTCATGTAACATTAGCAAGTAGGTTCAAATCTCTCTGTACATAAACTCGATAATTTCTGAATGTTGTATGCAGTTGATAAAAATGCGACGAGATAAGCGGGAGTAACATCTTATTCTGCACAAACCACTCTAACTTCACTTTATCCAAATATGTTTTGTTGTTGAACTTTTTATGAAGTTTTCAAGAGTTGGTTTGTAAGGATTACATTTGATTTTACGAGTTCAACCACGGAATCGATATCAGTTAGAGAACCATTGAAAACCAGAAAGTACTGGACAGCTGTTTCATCCTAGTTTGGGAATCATCGGCAGTACGCACCCACCAACACGGTTCGAACCTAGGACCTTCCGGTTACAAGGCAAGCTAGCTAGTATACCATTCAGCAACTGGGACCCGATTCAGTGGCCAACCCATGAATTCTAACTTCTACCAATTCATGATTTGGCGTGATCACCATTCAATGTTATAAGTGCGTACTGCCAATGGTTCTCAAACTGATATCAATTTCTCAGTCAAACTCGTAGGAACGAATTAATGAAGAAGACTTATTCAGGTGAGCACTGTTATATTAACCAACTACATTTACAGAATGTTGCAATGTAATATTTAGACATCTCGCTTAAAGTTTAAACTACTCTACTGTTACTTTTTCTTGTACTTTTTCTATGAATAAATGAGACATCGTTAGTGACAATGTAAATTAGAAACTGATAAAGTTATCTAGCTTGATACCGGAACATTCTCCCTTAGGTAAATACTAAGTTATATTGATTACTATGCAGTTAGTAGAAATATTCTTAGAGCATTTTGGGCTGAAGCGGATGGTGGTGGTGGGTGGCTTATATGCCTTTGAAGTTGTATGATTTTATCAAAAACTTTATGTGAACTTTTAAACTTTAGACATATCTATAAAAAGAATAGTTCTAATAAAAAAGATAATAATAATAATGATAATATTATTATTTGTTGTACTGCCTTTCCTTAAGAAGATTAAAGATGTTTTGTTGGATTAACTCTAAAGGAAAATAAAGTCATCATAAGAACAATGAAAGACACATTATTGAACACATTAAATCATCTCATCATATATATCTAACTTATCTAACTTACTTGAACTATTTTATTCAACTGTGAGTTCAGATCACTATGATCATTCAGGTGACGAGGTGAATTGTTCTGAAAAATAGAGAGGAGAAAATAAAAAAATTGATAATTTATAAAAGCAAGTAAGAAGTTAGAGAATTACTATAATGATTATTATTAAATACGTCAATATTGAGATGGGTTCCACTCATTGAAAAACAGCCTTGTTCTTACGGAGTACAACACTGACAAGCTCAGCTGCAAACGAAGGAAACGACTGTTCACTGTGTTGAATCAACTCGATCTAGGTAACGAAAGCTACTGATTGATGTGAGTGTTCATTTCAACCAACCAGTAATATGTTGTTTATTTTCCATTACGTTGCCAGTGGAATATAGGACTTCAAGTTAGAGGCTTGAGGTTTGGGAGTAGTAGTGTTTTTTATTGCTACGGGATAGGGTAGCTAGCCTCATGCCCGACTTTCCATCTCTACCAGTCTAATTATTATCTTAGCGAAGTAAAGGAGTGCGTCAGTGACGGAAGGGTAGAACCCCGGACCACGTTTGGCGTGGTTGGCGAATATTCTACCGCTGTGCCACCGACACACTCAACAATATGTAGCGCCATGCATTTACGCTTATTTTTTGTTGATTACTATTTATGGTACCAAACAGATTGCATAGTTTGTGTGATCTGAGAAAATTTGATTTCCGAAAGAAATGGCAAATTTGTATTCCACCATTTTTATCATTATTATTGTTCCCTTGGGTTCCTAGTGGAACATAGGGCTTCAGCTACACGTCTCCACTTGCTTCTCTCTTCTGCTGTACTTTTCACCTCCATCCATGTTGGTCCATACTGTTTCAACTCCTCTTCACACGATCTCCTCCATGTCACCCTTGCACTGACGTCCCACTCGCCGCTTCCCTTCGAGTTCCACTCGAGCGATGGCCTGAAGCGCGATGTCACCCAGCGGCCTCCTCAGCGAGTGTCCCATCCATCTCCACTTTCTCCTGCATATTTGTTGAGCGATTGGTTCTTGTTTTGTTTGTTTGTTCCCATAGTTTCTTGTTGATGATTCTTTCCGGCCATCTGATCTTCAGTATAGAGCCAGCGAAGACAGTTGTCGATAAAGGTCTGCAACAGGCTGTTGGAAATATTCTTTGAGACTCGCCAATTTTCTGATCCGTATAGAACAACCGACTTGACGTTTGTATTGAAAATCCGAATTTCGTTGTTGATGCTGAGGAGTGACGACGATTTCCAGATTGGTTTCAGGTTGATGAATGTGTTTCTCGCCTTCCCGATTCTCTACTTGACATCCTCGTCCGTTCCCCCTGTATTTGAGACAATGCTCCCTAGATAAGTGAATGAAGTAACCTCTTTCAAACCCCTCCCGTTGATGGTGATTGGCGGTGGATGTTGTTGCTGTTGTTATTGATTGGTTGATTGTTTATTTTCATAACCTCCGTCTTGTCTATGTTCACCTGGAGTAGTCCTGTCTTTGCTGCTTCTTCGACCAGTTTGTCGGTTTTCGCTTGTAAGTCTTCGATTTTCTGTGACATCAAACATTAATCATCCACGCGCGAAATCCAGGTCTTCTAGATTCTTCACGTTGGTCCAGGATATCCCTGTCTTCTCGTTTCCCACTGTCTGTCTAGTCCACCACAATTAGGATGTGTTCCACCACTGATTTGCAAACTCTCAGTCGACGAAATGTAATTTATTTATCTCCATACCGGTGTTTTTCTCACACCACCTCGTCGGATGAATGATGAGAAATTCACCGTGAAAGAAACGAGCTTGAATTCCTTGGTGAAAGGCGAAAGTTTTTTAAAAACGTTGGTCTTTAAAAAATATGGACACTTGATTTTACTACTTGATGATAAGTACGAGTCCTTTTCTTGTAAAACAAGAAGTTAGAAAACTACTTTCAGTAAAAGAAAAAGACAACAATATTTCACATTATAGACAAAAATGAAATATTCAAGTATTGGTTTGCAGGGATTTCATTCCTTGAATGATTTCATCATGAAACGACATCGGTTAAAGAACTATTGGAAAACCAGCACAAAGTACTGGACAGCTATGTCGTCTCACTGGTTTGCGTTCGAATTCAGGACCTTTAGGTTACAAAGCGAGCTCTCAGACAATCAAAACACTGGTATCCGATCCAATGGATATTCCATGAGCACCAACTTCTACCATTTCACGATATAGAGCGACCAATAGACATTTTCATGCGTGCCAAGTATTTGTGCTCACAACCAATCTGCTGTACCCCACTAGTCATCACTTCTCACTGGAAATATATCGACACTATTCGTGAATTGTCAGAAGTTGGAATTCATGGTCTACTAATTCGACTTGTAACCAGAAGGTCACGAAGTTCGAAACATGTTGGTGGATATGTCCTGCTAAGAATTCTCGAAATAGGAGGAAACAGACGTTAACCACTCCTTAGTCTACCAGTGATTAAGTGACTGGTGTCAACTCCTGATCAAGCTTCTAACCAATCAGACCACTGCAAACTAATATCCATTAGTATGAAATTACCTAAAAGCTAAATCTTTAAGAACACAAAAGCCGTTGACCTGATTCTCATCAGTCGAACTAATGATGCAATGTGAAAACAACCTTATTTCTGTTGTCAAAACTCATTCGAATTGATCCACTTATTTCGAAGGTGAACGAGGTCAAGTAGATAATATACATAATTCTAAATGTTGTGCATTTTCAAGCATTGTTTATTCTGAGATAATTGTATTTATAAACTACTTATAAGCCATTATATACTCTATGAATATGCGAATCATCCTTGAAGATGTACAATATGGAGGGTGGCAGATATGCATATATAATGCCAGTAAAAATCTAAATAAGTGAAGTGTAACCCGATTCAAAATGCACAATTGTCTTGAGAAATACACTAAATACGAGGTCAAAGGCTATCGTATTATTATGATGGCAAGATAAACATTCACACATTTATATTAACCAAATAGGCACTCAACATTCATATACTTATAGTTGTTGAAACTAATCCAGACAGGTCAATACTTATATGACAACCGGTGTTTGAAGGCCCTTGTAGAATCTCAGCCAGCAGTCTTATATCATCAAGTGTTGGTTTGTAGGGATTTGATTGATCACAAAGTTTCATCTTATGTTGACACCACTTAGAGAATCACCGGAAAACCAGATAGTAATGCAGAGTTGTTTCCGCCTAGTTTGAAACTCTCCAGCACTTCTCACACATCCAAATTCGAACATAAAACTTTCAGCTAGGATTTAATATTCATGAGTCATTTGATTGAATCTCAGTAGCTGGAGTATCTACAAGCTCGCAATTTAACCCGAAAGTCCTTTGTTTGAATGCTTGTAGGTGTGTACTATCAAAGTGGCACAAACTAGTGGGACGAAACAGCAGTCCAGTACACTCTAGTTTTCCAATGATTCTGTGACTGATTTCAAATCGAGATCAAACCTTTGAAAGATTGCATAACAGATGTTGGATTGTCGTCACCTGCCATCTGGAATCTTCTCAAGAAACAGGTTCTCATCCCACACTCAAGCAACACAAATTGCAAAACTGAAAATACTGAATCGCGATTAACTTTCAAATTCAGTTTTGAATTTCATCTACTTTTCTTAAGAGTTATTAGAAAAAACAATCACTACTGTGAAATACACATATGGGTTTTTTCATTTCTTAAGATGTTTACTAAATATAAAAAGTATTCATGTCCAATGTTTACATTACGTTTCCATGACATTGTCTACAACAATGGCTGATATGAAACGGTAATTCGCATGTGTGGTTTTCTCTAATCATCCTAACTGATTTTACTGCCAGACAATGAGACTGGAATTCTGACATATGCTTTCTCTACTACTTGGTGGCCTCTTTGTTATACGAAGAACTGGTCGTCGTCGAAGCATAGTTAGCAGAATCATTGTTAAACTGTGGTACGCCTTTCTGTCGACGAGTGAAGAACATTTACGCTAGGTCATGTACGGATTTCGGTTGAATGAAATTTAGGCGAAATTTCTTTTTATTCTCTGGATAATTTCAAACATTTTGTAACATGATTTGTGTGTCATTCAGCTGTCTGCACAAGAACACAACCAATCATTATCAATTCTTGGTTTAAGTGGAATAACAGAAACGTATATATTGGATGTCAGTATATTTTAGACTTTACGCATATCATGTGTAATGAATGACATTTGAAATCTTGTCAACTGCAGATCATGTTGTCTCGTCTACAAAGCATTTTAAGGACAACTGGCTGCGCCCATTTTTTTTAGTGTAATTAGGAGATTGATTAGCAAGTTATGGGTGTAAAGAGGAGAGTTTGTAAGCAGTCACTAATGATGGTTGTTGTGTAAAAGGCGAAGCTTCCTAGCATTTCGCTGAAGACTTTGAATATTATGCATATTTCACTTGTTGGTTCTATTAGTTACAAGCTTGATGAGGAGTTGACGTCGGTCGTAGAATCATTGGAAAACTAGGTAGTACTGACCAGCTGTCTCCTCCTAGTTTCGGAACTCTTTAGAAGCCGGCACCAACTGCCAGGGGTTGACCCCAGGACCTTCTGGTTACAAGGTGAATTCGTAGACCATGTAGCCACTGGGACTCCATCCAATAGCCAGCTCGTGAATTCTAACTTCTGACAATTCAGGAATTAGGCTAATGTATCTCTATTCAGGGTTTGTGACCGGTGGGGTTCAATATGTCGCCAGCGACAACATTGATTAGTGTCAGTTGCACTATATGGTGAGTTGGCAGAAGTTGGAATTCATGGGCCGGTCACTGGATCGGTTGCCAGTTGCTTGATGATCTGGGAATTCGCTTTGTCGAAGGAAGGTTATGGGTTCGAAACCTGTCGGTGAATCCATACTGCTGGAGTCACAGACTAGGGGAAGATAGCTGTCCAGTACTCCCTGTTAGTTTTCCAATAGTTTTATAACCGATGTCAGCCCATGATGAAAATATTTAATTACCTGACACCTTAAATCTAGAAAAAAGTGAATAAAACTCCCGTTATTCCGTTGCGCTGATCATGGATGGTCTTCAGCATTGACTAAGA